GACGAACTCCACCTCGAGCTTGGCTCTATGGAGCCCGTCGCCGAAGAGTACCGAGAGGGTTATAACCCCCTCAGAATCAATGGTGTCGCCGATGAAGCCGGCAAGAGGGGTCTTGATGGGCCGAAGGGACCCCCTCTCCAGATGCAGCTCTCTGAAGGTACTGAGGTACATTACATTGACGGAGCTGCCCGTGTCAATGTAAGTCCGGTGAATTATAGTGTCATTGATCTCTGTGCGGATGACGAGGGCATCCCTGTGTGGGGAGGACACTGGGGGGAGATCAGTGTTAGTGAAGGTGATGGGTTCCTCCCTCAGCCGCTTTACTGGGGGCATATGAGTGACTTCCCCCACGTAAAGTGACTGAGCCCACTTCTTTCGTTGACTTGTAGAGTCACCCCCGATATTGCCCCCGGTGATCATGAGGATGTGGCGCTTCTTTTCATGGTACCGGGGGTACTCCTCCTCCTCTTCTTCCAAGTTCCCAATCTCCCTCTTCTTGCCGAGGGGGATGGTGTTGGGGTTGACCCATGCATTTGCTCTCGCAGTTTGCCCTCGGGGTGGCCCTTGGTGAGGGGGGCCCTATTGCTGAGGGCCTTGAATAAATTGAGACAAATGGCCTGCCTGTATTAATCTTTCGATGTCCGTCTTCAGCTGATGGCAGTCATTGGTTCTGTGCCCTTGATGCCGGTGGAAGCGACTGTAGGGGTAGTTTGGATTGATGGCATATACCTCCGGGGGTGCGCGGGAATCTCGCTCCACCAGGCCCCTCTCCTCGGCGAAATCAAGAATGACGCTGACGGGGTGCGTCAAAGGTGTCCGAGGGTGCTCCAGGAAAACAGGTTGTGCCCAAGCCCTCGGGTTCCCCTTGTAGCCTCCCCCGGGCTTGGCTTGGTCGTGCCGGGGGCGATCACCGGAGGGGGCAGAATCCTTGGGTAGATTACGGGGAGCCCCCGGCCCCCGGTTGCCTTTGTCGTCTGGCCGAGGGCGTTGCTGATCCGGGATGTGATGGCATTTCTCCACCTCCTCGGCTTCGGCATACCGGTCCCCCCGCTGTAGGGCCCTTATATAATCGCGGGGGGGGGGGGGGTTCGATGATGAGGCTCCTTGAGAAGTTCCCGGGGCAGAGTACTGTTTGGAGGAGGGCCAGGAGGGTCCCGTCGTCAGCGCCATCAACTTTATCAGCCTCCGTTCTCCAGCGCTCCAAGAAGTTCCGAAGGGTCTCCTCCTTCTTCTGCCTCACTGTCAGTAAATGGGAGAAGTGCTTCCTTGTGCGGCGCCTTCCCGCAAATTGCGTCAAAAATCGTTGGGCGAGTTCTTGCCATGAGTCAATGCAGCCCTCAGGCAATCGATTGAACCATTCGTAAGCCAACCCCTCTAAGGTGGAGAGGAACCAGCGGCACAAATACTCATCTGATGCCCCCACCATCATCATGCTGTTTTGGTATCTGCTGTAGTGCTCCTGGGGGTCAGTTTTTTCATCGTAGCGCTTGATGAGCTGCCCTCGGTATTTCTCCGGGATCCGGGCCGCCAATACCCTTGGGGTGAATGGCGTCCGGGTCCAGAGCTGTATGGTGGGTTCCCCGGAGCCCTCGGTTATCTTCCTCTGCATTTCCTCCATCTTGGCCAACATGGCCTCATACTTCAGGTCCGTATGAGGGGCAGAAGTGGTGACGTGTGCTTTGGTGGTCTCCATGTCGTCAAGCCGGCGCTGGAGGGTCGTAATGATTTCGTCCTGGGGGTCCTTCGGGAGGGCCTCCACCCCCTGCGAATGGACACGGGCCGAGTGGGCCTGGATGATTTGGTGACGGGCATCGTTGGCATGGAGAGGTGCCTTGCCTTTGTCCTGAGGGGGACGTCTTTCATTGGCCCTGGAGACGGACCCGCCACTTTCCTGAGGCCTCTGGAACGCCTTCCCCCCGAGGCGGTCTTGGACCCCTCGGTGGTCTTGCGCCCCTCCGAGTCTCTCGAGGGAGGACGTCCGGAGTTGTTCTCTGTTCACATTGTGGCGGTCCTGGGATTGGACTTCCTGGGAGGCCGTATCTTGGGCCACGACCCCCTCGACGTTCCCAATCCGGAGGACTGGGTTCCCGAGGGGGTGTGGATGAGGGGGAGGCATGACATTCTCCCCGACCTGAGGCTGGAGGGGAACCAAAGTGCCGAAGGCACCTGGATTCTGGGTGAGCGTCTGGATGAAGGCGGAAAACGCCGATTGTACGTCGATTGTAATTACCGGAGGGCTAACTTGGTTCTCGCTCCGGTCCTTTTTCTTGGCCTCGATGCCGAGGCGGGCATCGGGGGCATTCTGTTGAATCTGATGGCGTAGGTCGACAGCCGTCTGGTCCAACCCGGCAACGCCGCCCCCCCGGGAGCCCTGTTAGAAGCTTCGGGGACGTCGACTTCGCCGAGGGCCAGGTTCCTGTCCTCAACATTCTTGGAGTTGGCACGAGTTGTTCTCACCATTTTAGCTAGGTGTTTTGTTTTTGGTGATGGGGAGGGTTTCTTACTTGATTGTTCGACCTCTCAACGAGAGCACCAAATGATGGATAGTATACCCGGGGGGTAGCTTATCCGAGGGGTTATTACAGGGAATAACTAGAGAGAAGTCAGAGCAAGTAAGAGAGAGAAAGTGTATTGAATATGTAAGTTAAGGCTTTTGAGCGTGGTTTACAACGGGGAAATGGGGTGCTACTTATAGTAGCAATAAATGCCAGACAGGGACACGTGTCAAGCATCCATTGGCCGAGGGGTCACCTCAACTGGTTGGCGCTGGCAATCACATGTGGCCACATTTAATGCGGCTGTTGGATGTGACGTCGTACTTGGTACGGTGATCCATGCGCATGTGGAGCATATATTATGTCAGAAAAGGTGCCCTCGGCTGTAGATGATTAGCCGAGGGCTCTGAGTACCGGGGACCTCCTTAGTGCCGAGGGCTACTGATTTTCGCCGTTTTCTCCCAGTAACTTTGTTTTCCTGATTTGGCCCTCATGTGAGAATTGGAGCCTTCGGCCAGGGGGTCGAAGGCACCCCTAGTGCGCACAGTGGGCCGCTTGGTACTCTGGGCGTTGTGATTTGGGCCTGTTGTGCTTCCTGGGCCTATTGGGCCTTTATTGGAGTAGTAGGAGTCTGTGGAACAGGGGTTTCCGGGCCATATACTCCATCACGCACAAGGAGTAGCAATTGGTGTATATATTTTTAATCATGATCTAATTAAATAATAGAATAAAAATAACTTTTAAAGATTCTACATTTTCAAAAAATAAGAGTACAATAAATTGTGGTCTGTCCTAGGCTTTTCTAGGGTTGTTTTTCTAGCCGGCTTTGCCGTTGTTCGGGGTTTTGTTGGGTGAAATCGTGAAAGGGTTTATCGCCAGTTTGGTGGGGGAAGCAAGGATGAGCATCGTGAGCTGCAATTGTTGGGGTCGTGGAAACCTAGCTACGGTACAAATTTTAAAAGATATTGTCAGTGAACGGAGTCCTTCAGTGACTTTTCTTATTGAGACAAAGGCTAAGACCAGGAGGGTTGAGAGTGTCATGAAGGCGTTGGGGGTATAGTCATTGTTTTGCAGTTGAAGGAGAAAGGATGGGTGGGGCTAGCTTTCATCTGGAAAGATACGATTGAACTTGTGGTGGTAAATTCAGGCAGACACTATATCGATTGTTACATAAAATTGGAGGTTGATGGGGGGTCATTGGAGGTTTACGGGCTTTTATGGTTTTCCGGATAGCAGACGCCTTAGTGAAGCATGAGAATTGTTACAGTTGTTATCCCATGCTAGTACTCTATCTTGGCTAGTAATGGAGGACTTTGAGTGAAGAGGCAAGTTCCCTCAATGGAGATAGAGATTGAAGGAAGCTCTCTAGAAAAGTGATTTACAAAATTTGTATTTTGAGGGGGTATGAGTTTACATGGGAGTGTGGGTGTGGTTCAATAGGATGCATTGGCGAGAAACTTGATCGGATTCTAGTTAATGAGGAGTGTATAGAAACTTTCGGAGAAGCTTCAACTCGATCATTGGAATGGCCTTCAAGCGTTGTCTTCCGAACCCTAGTCACGCAAATCCTCTGTGGCGGCGGTTCAGGAACTGCCCTAAATGATGACGGCCGGACAGAGCCTCCCATATAAGGGGTGATTTACACTTTTTAAGTTAGTTCGAGGGCCTACTTGACCCTTTTGCCTTTTAGTTATTTCTTACTAATAATTTTTTATTTGTTTTATTAATAGAAAATATTTTTAAATATAATATTTTTTAGAAATCAGCAGAATCAGTCAATCCAATCACTTTAGCCCGTACTTAATAAATTTCACCAGAATTTGCCGATTCATCCAATTTTCAGTGTTATCAAATGGGCTCTAATTCTCCTTTTCCGATGACTAATGAAGTTGAATGTTTTATTTGTAATTTTTTTATTTTTCTTTGGAGTAATAATTAATACAACCAGATCGTTGTACTATACTATATTATTGCAGGATTTGTGACTTAGAAAAATCCATGAGATCTTTTCTCATCTCGTTGTAGTTTGAGACTATTCATTCACATGTTTCCTTGTTACGACTATTATTTATTAAATAAATTAATTATTTGACTTAAAATGGATGGCCAAAAGTCAAAAAAGTATAGAGTAGTAATGCTTTTTTTTTGAATTTATGAATCTATGAATACAAAATACTCCCTCCGTCCCATATTTAACTCCGGTTTTGACCGGGCACGAGTTTTAAGATAACGTGATTTGTGTGGTGGAGAGTTATGCAGATGAGAGAGAAATGTGTAAGAATGGGTGTGACCCACATATTCTTTACCAAAAAGGGAAAAAGGAGATAAATTTGGGACGGAGCGAAAAGGAAAGAATGAAGATAATTCCGGGACGGAGGAAATATTGTTTTATTGTAAGGATAAAACACAATGTTTTATTTTGTTTTATTTCACAATTTTGAAAATGTTTTAGTGTACCATTTCTCTAACATTGATTAGCATGTCACACATTTCATAATCATAACTCTGTAATATGTTGTTACCCATATGGTTGTACGGAATCATTATCCAAATCCATTAGTACAATAGGACAATGATTTTGTCCGTCCATAACACTTGATCGATCCACCGGAGCACTTTGATTCTGCCCGATTCCTAACATGCCTTATATACTCCGGCGGAGAATCAACCGAAAATTGCACATTCCCTGCCGGCAATTATTGTTTTCTACTGCCACGCCGGCGACGAAGGACCATAAAGGGATTCAAAAGATTGAGAAGATACTTATAGCTAATAGAGGCGAAATAGCATGTAGAATTATTAGAACTGCCAAAAGACTCGGGATTCGTACTGTCTCCGTCTACAGCGACGCCGATAAGTATAATCTGCATGTAAAATCCGCCGACGAGGCCGTCCGCATTGGCCCTCCTCCGGCGCGTCTAAGCTACTTGAATGCTTCATCAATTATTGAAGCTGCAGCTCGTACCGGAGCTCAGGTAGTAAACGAACTTTCTGATCCCGGTTTTTTTATTAATAGTAGTACTTTCGTGCAATGCGGCTCCTTTTTTCACGGCCACATGTTGGCTTCTGGGTTTTTTAAATATTTGTTTGGCCATCGGCATGTACTGAATTGCATAGAAGGTGCTTAATTATTTCCAGAGTACAAGGGAAAAAATCCGAAACTGGTTTAAAAAATAAAAATAATAGTAATGAAAACTTTTCAGGCTATTCACCCAGGTTATGGTTTCTTATCGGAAAGTGCTGATTTTGCTCAACTGTGTGAAGATGAAGGTTTGATCTTTATTGGACCTCCTGCATCTGCAATCCGTGATATGGGTGACAAAAGGTACAGGTTGCTAACTTGAAGTGTCTGTTGCCATTGTACCATGTTCATTTTAATATACAAAAACAACAACTTCAAAGCCTTCGTCCCCGAAAGAGTTTGGTGTCGGGTAACATGAACTGACGTATGAAATCGATTGGTTCGTTTTAATATGTAATTTCAAATTTATGCCTCTCATACACACTATAAAATCGATTAGCTCTGGGTAGAGTATAAAGTCGTTTGTAGCAGATTTGCATTGTGACTAGTGCAATAAGTTCACTTTGCTTCACTGAATCGTCTGTCTGGTTCATCACATGGATAGTTTTCTGAGCATTTCATTTTAGCACAGCTGAATTGTGAGTGTAAATAAGTTCACTTTGCTTCACTGAAGCATCTTTCTGGTTCCTCATATGGATGGTTTTCTGATCATTCTGTTTCTTTATATGGGCTTGTCTAGTGCTTCAAAAAGAATAATGGATGCAGCAGGGGTGCCACTTGTGCCCGGATATCACGGCGAGGAACAGGATATTGACTTGATGAGATCAGAAGCACAGAAAATAGGGTATCCTATTTTGATCAAGCCAACCCATGGAGGTGGTGGGAAGGTGTGCCTTTAGTATATTTCTCTTTGTGTATCTAATTTCTGCCTGCTTATAAAATCATGTAATTGTTTACTAATTTCTCTCTCTACAGTGTGAATCTATTGATGCTCACACAAATTGACATTTTGGTTTCCCATTTCCAGTTTTCTTATTTATTTTATTTTTGTGATATAAGTTACCTCCAACATCCAATAATATAAGATATATATGAGTTTTGCTTTTTTAAGAAAATAAAGGTGATAGCGGTTGTATGGTAATTGTAACCTTTGAAAAACAAGTTAAAGTAGTACGAGTCCTAGGGGGTGTTTGGAACCGATTCTGATTCTGCTTCTTTTTTAAAGAAAAAGCAGAATCAGAATCAGTTTTCAGAAGCTGGTCACCCCCAGCTTCTAAAAATACTGATTCTAGGAGTAAATTAGAGCACCAGAATCACTTCTGCACTTTTACCCAAACACTCCAACTTCTGCTTCTGCTCCCTGAAGGAGCAGAAGCAGTTTTAAGAATCAAATCCAAACACCCCCCTAGTGTCCTACTAATAGTAAACGGTGAACAAGGATAAAGTGGGAAAGTTAAAAGTTGGTATTCAGACCAGGAAAGTTATCATTGTCTTGGAAAAGAAGCAAAAGGAAAGTGTATCCAACAAAGTGGGGCACAAAATCAGCACAAGCTACTCATGCTTGCACTAAACTACTGATCATGTAGTTTTTTATAAGTAAAAACCTTGTTTTTTGGTTTTCCAAATCTGATTTTTGGTTTTCAAATAAAACTGAAACCTGAAAAGTTTGAAAATCACCATGAATTGGGGGCCTTGATTCTTAAATCAGATATTCCATTCTTCCTTTCACGGCCATAATCTCAAATCTTAAAGACTTTTGCTTTGCTTATTGGGTGATTCAATATTTTCAAAGCATATTTTAGAATACAGTTCCGTGTGTTTTGCTTTCCAATCTCACATGGTTTCTAAAATTAATATACGTGCCCCGTTGTCCAAATTTAGGGCATGAGAGTTGTTCAAAGTCCAAGTGAGTTTGTTGACTCTTTTTTGGGGGCACAACGTGAGGCTGCTGCATCTTTTGGCATAAATACAATCTTGCTAGAAAAATATATTACAAAACCAAGGCACATTGAAGTCCAGGTATGCTTCTTATATTTGAGCAACTCGTGCTTGTTGACTTTCACTGCATTCTCTTAACATTTTAAGTGGTGAATGGAATTATCACAAAAGATCCACACTATTCTTGTGTGGAACTTATCGTGAAAATCTATCTTTATAGTGGTGAGCTCATTATGCAGATATTTGGTGACAAACATGGTAATGTTATCCATCTCCATGAGAGAGATTGCAGCATCCAAAGAAGACACCAGAAAATAATTGAAGAAGCTCCTGCTGTAATTTTTCCTTTCAATGAATTTGTTAGTTCTGCAGTCTTGAGTCTTGAGTCTTGACACATATTCCCTCTCTCGCATTTGCAGCCGAATATTAATAGTGAGTTTCGGTTCCACTTGGGTCAATCTGCTGTATCTGCAGCCAAGGTAAAGGTCCATAAATGTTCTTTGTTGTTTCTTGTTATTGTTTTCACACACAATGTCTCCTTCAAAACAAAATATCTGCCATAGTATTTTATCTTGGACATGTCTATTGGAACATATATGAATCCTTCTTGAGATTTTAGTCTTTGTCTTATTTGTTCGACCTAACACAATATCCTTTATCTTAAAGGCAGTTAATTATTACAGTGCGGGGACTGTGGAGTTTATTGTTGATACCATTTCAGGAGAGTTTTATTTTATGGAGATGAACACCCGCCTTCAGGTGTCTGCTTAGGCTTTCACTCCTCCAATTCACTTTTATAACCTATTGCAAATAGTAAATATAATCTGTGAGGCAGGTTGAGCATCCTGTTACCGAGATGATTGTTGGTCAAGATCTTGTGGAGTGGCAAGTACGTGTTGCAAGTGGAGAGCCTCTTCCTTTGAGCCAATCACAGGTTCCCTTATCAGGTTAGGGATTTAATTGATTGTGTAGTGCTTCTTTCTTCTTTAATATAGGCTAGCTATCAAATTCATGTGTATTTTTATTATTTCTTTGAAACTTCTGACCATCCTGGCCTGTGCCTCAGGCCAACATTCTTTACAATGCACATGACTGAAATATTAAAACTTCTAAACGTGTAACTATGATATCTTTCATGGCAGGTCATGCTTTCGAAGCCCGGATATATGCAGAAAATGTTCCCAAAGGTTTTCTTCCTGCTACTGGTGTTCTTCATCATTATAGTCCAGTTGCAGTTACATCATCAGGTGCTGCTCTGTGTCTCTATCATTTTATCTGTGGCTTCATGAAAAAATACCTCAATATATTTTAGCCTTTTAGGTAATGCAATGGAATTCTTCCATAGATCATTAAGCAGCTAGCAAGTTGCATATCAGTGAATTTTAGCACGCGTGTGGCTAAAACCCCCGGGATGCATTATACTGTGCATATGACATTTGTGGGGGTGCAGTTAGTTTTTTTATTGAACTGGAACTTCCAAGTACTAGCTGAAGAACTGACCATAAGGGGAATTAATTTGGTGAACTCCAACACCTGATCGAATTGCTACCTTTTTGATATTCTTTTTATGATTATGCCCAATATTAGCTCATTTATGATATGCTGTTTTTGGTTTCTACGATTTGAAGCATACCATTATGTATTCATTTAACCAGTTATGGCTCAATTTAATTGCTTCGAAGTCTTGTTTCTGACTGTAAGATACCATTTCATTTAATATTGTCAGATAGGTGTTTGGGAATTATACTTGTGATTACAGTATTAGCTAGTCAATATACCTTTGTTCATTTTCATTTACCCCAGTGCCGCAAAGGCTCCCACCTACGGTGGGGTAAGGGGGGGTCGGATGTACGTTTGTTGATTTTACTAAATTCATTCCTTGCTATCTTCCAGTTAGAGTTGAGACGGGGGTTGAGGAAGGGGACACTGTAAGTATGCATTATGACCCCATGATTGCCAAGCTTGTAGTGTGGGGAGAGAACCGCTCTGCAGCATTGATAAAATTGAAAGACAGCTTGTCAAAGTTTCAGGTATGATTTGACCCAGTGATTACGTCCATTGATGCCTGCATCAAGATTTAATCTCAGACATTGTAATGTTCTCCACATAAAGGTTGCTGGTTTGCCAACCAACATAGATTTCCTTTCTAAACTAGCACACCATGGTGCTTTCGAAAAAGGCGAAGTGGAAACAAATTTCATTGAGCGGTATAAGGACAGTCTATTCAGCAGTGGTTGCAATTCAGGACCTGCACTAGAGGCATATAGACGTGGTGCATTAATTGCTGCTGCTTGCATTTGCAACAGGGAACTTGCAGCATCAAGGAATAGTGCCCCTGGTAAAGTTTAAACTTGCCAGTACTGACTTTTCGTTTTTCAGTTGCTGCAATTTTTATGTGTTTCTTTTTCCTGTTGTATTGGTAGAAGGAATGTTTTTGTGGTATGTTGATCCTCCTTTTAGAGTCCACCATTTGGCTCATCGAACCGTGGAACTTGAGGGCGATGATGAGTTTGGTGATACAGGTTCAAAATTTTTAAACGTTTCCGTAACCCATTTGGCTGAAGGGAAATTCCTAGTTGAGGTACTTTATCCTTTTGCTTTTACTTGATAAGTTGTATTTGAGTCCTTTTATAGTGTGTGTGAAAGGGGTACTTATAATTTGTATATGAAAGATTTATCTCAATTTCTTTATACATAAACACTACTCTTTATTTTCTTAAGCAGCTACTATTGGAGTTCTAACATCAGTCTCATGATTACAGACAGGAGAAAGCATTTTCCCCAGTTTGGAGGTCGAAGTACAACAGTTAAGCAATGGAAATTATACAGTCGATGTTGGCGGTGTAAAACAAACTGTTAGCCTTGCTGAATATTCCAAAGTAAAACCTATCCTCCTGAGTCCTGACCCTGTTTCATTGTTCGTGTAGCAGATGAGAACATTGTCTGTCCTAGAATGCTGCTATTCATGGTTATCTTAATGTGTGTGTGTGTGTTTTACAATGTGTTTGATGACATTTTAGTAACTGTTAGTCTGTTACAAAGGATGACTAAAGCAACATTAACTTTGACATCATGAGAGGTCTCAATAAAAATGGGTTCAGTGTATCATGTTGCTGTTGTTGATGTAGGACCATTGTAAGAACATCCATATTTGGCATGGCCCTTACCATCATCACTTCAAACAAAGTATAATCCTTGAACTCGTTGAGGATGATCAACTGAACCAAAAACAACCTGCCAGTGAGTCTGCATCTCACCCTCCTGGGACAGTGGTTGCCCCAATGTCAGGTCTAGTGGTTAAAGTTTTGGTGAAGGATGGGGAAGAAGTTCAACAAAGCCAACCAATATTAGTATTAGAAGCCATGAAGATGGAGGTCTGCAATTCACAAACTTTGTATTACTTTTATGTTTAAGCATTACATTCAATGTTTTATTTAAACTCTTCTATTTTATATCCCATTACATAGCATGTAGTGAAAGCTCCAACTGCTGGACATGTTAGTGGCCTTAAAGTTGAAATGGGACAGCAAATATACGACGGAGCAGCTCTCTTCAGTATCAAGGTTAGCTTTCACCCTCATATGGCCAATTTCATTGATTTTGTGCACTCAAATACATTGTTTTAAAAACCTGCCAAGGCACACCTCGTATTGAAGTGAAAGCTTATGAACTGCACGGGGAGGATTTGTTGCTTGAGGTGCTGACATGGGTTTTATATTCAATTTTTTATTTGGACTATTAGAGCACCCATCGCTTGATCCATGAATTTAAGTAATACAAAAGATTTTGGGGTCGGCTAACATGAATCGATACATGACATGAATTTAACTTCTAAAAACTAAAAAAGGGTGATACAGATGAGACTTTTAGAAGCTTTAAGGCTTCGAACCTGCGAAGGAATGCTCCTCTGAGGCGTACACCTTTGCCTTAGGGGATGTATGAAATGTATTTGTTATCCCAGGAACCAAATATGCTTGTTAATTGCCAATTTAGTTACAATATCCTTGTGAGTAATAATTACAATAATTTGTTGCTGCAAACATAATTGGAACTGACTCTAGAGTGTCTCCGTGATCTTCAGCCATGCATTTTTCATATAAACTAGGAGAAGCTCCCTCTTATTTTGATTTTCATGATGATGGTTGCAGAGTCTTTAGATCTACCATTTCTTCATTGAAGACAATCTCAACTGGATTGAACACCTAACATCGCTCTGGACATCTATGGTAATACATATTTGGGGATACCTGAGTCACTATATAGGCTGTGAATGAGTTGAGAGACCATTTGCAAGGGTTGGAAACTTGTAACCTCATTTCTAGGACCCCTTGAGATGTATCAAATTAAAAAAATCAATAAAAACATTAAATGTCATTTGAGTTGTGAAATTGTATTCAGTGAAGTTACTAGGGAATATGCTAGCAACAGTTTGGTTGTGACTAAACTATATTGAGTTGTTGGGTATGGTGCTGCATCTCTCATTCCTAGGTGTTATCATTCCTAGATCTCATATGAAGAGTTTTGTATAGTAAATTACATGACAGCACTCAAAATGAAACCTTATTTCAGGAGTTTTCCATTTGCTTCTTGTTTTGAGAAGCAGTTTATTTTAGAGATTATATGAAAAATGTGTTATGGATGAACTCAAAAAGAAATGTCACACTTATTTTGGATCAACTCAAAAAGAAGGAAAGTAAGACCGTTAAAATGGAACGAAGGAAGTAAAAATGTAAAATTGATTGCTCTCCAAGACTCCAACTCGATGTCAACTAAGCTTATCACTGCTATACAAGCATTGATAAAGGTGGCATCAATGAAGATTAATGTGTTCTTTTTGTCCAAGATATTTAAAATCTCATAGATTTGGTCCATTGCAGACTCTAACGAATAGGTTTTTATGAGATTTTTTACCTATATACTTAAGTTAGTAGTGTGCTAAGATTGCTTGGCAATAATATCATTTGGAGACGTGCCACGATCAAAGTTGTCATCAATGTCTTAGGTTCTTAGCTAACCCATTAGCACATTGTCCCAAAAGACTTGTCCTCTTCCTCTTGTGGTTCGGGAGTACGCTCTGCATAAATAATATTTAGGGGGCATTTGCTTCAAAAACAGCATTCCTTACTACCTCCGACCCAAAACTTTTCTCGATCAACTATGGCAAACTTTGGATAATAATTTTAATTATTATATTTGTACATAATTTATAAATTTTATTCTTTTATGAAAATATTTTGAATAAGGTACGTTTTGATATAATTTGCACATTCAAAATAATTTCATATTCAAAAAAATTTATTCAAAATAATTTCATATTAAGAAATAAGAAATATCATTGATTAAAGTTGATTATCATTAAAAAAAAGTCAATTAGGCGAATCTTTTAGGGATGGAGGGAGTAGTAAACAAATTTATGACTATAATAAAAGTGTTTACAAAGATGTGACTTCTTAAATGTAGTGACTATATTAGTAACTTTAGTCATATTAACATGTTCAATTTTCATTTTTAAGTGACCATAACATTATATTCATGGTAACCTTAGTCATATTTTTGTAATAATATTTTCGGTGATATTTTGAGAAAACCTCTAAAAAATTGTCATATTTCATAAGTATAAGATTGCACATAATATGTTACAGGGATGTGTTAACAATGTATTGCTCGAGAGGTTAAGTGGTTCACATGAATTGAAGGCCATAAATTATGTGTATGCAAGGGAATGAAACTAATAAGACATACAAAAAGTTAGGGCAGTATCTGTAGTTAGCAGGTTGGAGGTCAACTAAAATGAATTGAAAAAAGATTAAGAAGTGAAAGTATGAAAGTTAAATTTTATATCCAAAATCTGAGACTAGAAATTGAAGTAATTATCCAACCACTGAGAACACTCAAAAACTCAAGGCAATGAATGTCTCAGACCAAATATCTCTTTATTTTATTTTTTTGAAACTTTATCCCTCTACAACTACCTTTTAAACATGACATTCAAGATTATACAAATCAAATTATTTATGTTCCGTTCGGGATTTGAATTCGTATAAGACTACTCGAATTCGAAAAACTCAAATACAAATAAGAATACTAAATTTGATTCGAATTGTTATCAAATACAAATAAAAATATTAACATATTCGATTCGGATATTAATCAAATATATTCTATTAATAATACTTATAATAACATAATAATAATGATAATAGTAATAACATTATAATAACTTTTAAAAGCGAGCTATACTCTCAAAGTTTAATTCATATATACATTTATGTATACACATTCCAAGCCTATTTGTAATAAACAAGGTTGTAAACTACCCAATATATGTGCGTGTGTATAGTATAACCCATATATCTAATGTTTTTTCATCATCAATGTTAAATATCTAACATAAAATTAGAGTTGTTTTACTTAGTTTTACTTAGATATAATTATAAACCTTATTTTTTACTCCGGGAGGATCTCGGGTAGGGGGCTTGGAGTAATTGAAACTCACTCCATTGAGTTTCAAACCCTTATGTGCCTAGCGGGTTTCGAACTCGAGACCTCCCACTAGGCACGGTAACTTCACAACCAGCTGGGCTGCAATGCTTGGTTATAATTATCAACCTTATTTCACACATTATAAGTATAATTTCTAATATGTATGTAGGTAGTGTTTAATTTATTTCAAAAATAATGAAATAGATTATGTATATTAATCATAACAAATACTACGTATTATACAAGCATGACAATATAGTGATAATATGCTTAAATGAATACATGGATTTGTAGCGAATATATTATGTGTATTATTGTTATGAAAATGAGTTGGTATAACTCAAGAAGCTCAGCCCAACAAAAAGCTCCACCGGCGGATGTGGGGAGCGTCCATGTCGGCTTCTTTCTTCTCCTGATGAGCTCTCCTTTTCAGTTCGACAAACTTTTCAATCTCTAGATTAAGAATGATTTGCAGTTCTTCCCTCTTAGAGCGTGTCAGGGTTACTATGACGCAAGAAGATTGGTCGTGTACACGAATTTGCCCACAACCGTGTGCGCCCAAAAAACGGCTCAAACATCATATTTTTCTGTTTAAACAGGCTTTGAACCCTTGTTTTGGGGTTATTATGTTTAGACAAAATTTTCGGCTTTGAATCTTCAGAATTCTTAGATGAGTAGACGGTTTAAAAGAGCTAAATGCTACGTGGATACTATTAAATGAGTTTTATGCTATACTAAAATGAGTATAGTGTTAAAAATAAATGTGCATGAGTGAAATATTATAAAAGGGTACAATAAATTTTCTAAGTCAAGAATACACAATTGAATATTTGAGCGCATTGGAGATTTCAAATCTGCTTTCGAATTTTTCGATATCCATGCCATTTTGTAAGTTATGTATGCTCATTTAGTACTGAAGTTATGCTCATTTAAAAATGTCATATCAATGCATTTTCAAAAGTATAATATTACATTATATTTGCATATTGGAATTCCTATGAGTTGATTATAGATATAATTTATGAAATTTTTATAAAAGAAGAAAAAGAAACTAAGAATAAAAAGTGAATTAGAAGACATGGAAGCATAGATCACGATATTTAATTATACGCAATAGAGGAGACTTGATGCCCAATGAGAAATGTATTGATGTTCAACTAGCAGAGTTTACGATTTTTATATCAATGTATATATCAAAAGTATAACATTAGATTTGCATATTGGAATTCATAAGAGTTGATTATAGATGTAATTTAAGTTTTTTAATAAAAAATAAAAGAAAGAAAGTAAATTAGAAGATATCAAACAGAGATCGTGATGCTCACTATTAGACTCTAATACTCAACTGAATAGACTTGATGCTCAATAAAAATATTCAATTAACACAGAAGACATGATTTTCATCTGAAATTACAAGAAAGACACTAACTATACAATATAAACTATACAACGAGTGATACGATACACAGACTCCTAGGCGGTTGTCTTGGGTGAATATGAGTAGTAGCTTCCCCACGCATAGGTTCCTCCAATTCATTTTGACGCATTAAAATACTCTCTTTTGTTTTGGTCGCATTAATTTTGTTGATAACCTTAAATTTGAGATTTCGGCCTAAATGTTCTTATTTGAAGACCTTAATTTGGTGTTAATAATAGAGGTTCGCAGACTCGAAAATTATTCTCACTTTTTTTGGTATGTCTCAAAAAATTCTTTCAATTTTTTAACTCCTGTCAAAAATAAGATGGGAAGAATCCTCGCTATTTAACGGTGGGCATAGCTCAACTGGTAGCGAGGGAGTGCAACAAGGGTTATATCTCGGGTTCGAATCCCGGCAACTACGATGAGAGGTTACTATGCTAAAAAATGCATAGGACTTCAGCAAGTACCGGTGGGCGTAGCTCAACTGGTAGCGAGGGAGTGCCACAAGGGTTAGGTCTCGAGTTCGAATCCCGGCAACTACGATGAGAGGTTACTATGCTAAAAAAAGCATAGGACCTCTCATGGCCGGTCTTGTCCATTTCTGGGCCTATGGGCGGTACGTTATTTTGGGCCTATATTCATGACAAACAGTAAACCATATTTCGGCAATGAAGTCCATAAAATAAAGATGAGAATCACTTTATTATTATATAAGTTACATATTTGGGAAAATGTAAAAACACGAGTATCGAATAAAAAGAAAAAACATTACATAAAAACGTTTCTCGTAGACCAATGTGAAGCAAATCATTAATAATTGCCTCATATAGACAACCTTCTTTCCACTAATAAATATGACAAAAAATAAAATTGCCACATATAACAACAGTAAACTTTCATTTGAAAGGATAAATGAAAAGAAATATTACCACATATTGAATTCATAAGTTGAAAATGATTTATTGACCGCTGATGAGAGTCTAAAGTTTGAAGTCTTGAACGAATGAATGATTTCAAAGAGACAAAATGTTTGGCTGCCAAGAGGACTCGCGCAAGTAGATTGCAAATTTGACATCCTCTAAAACTACTATTAGGAACTATGATATAGCTTATTGAAATTTCGAAACAAATGAATAATTGGGGTGAAATTTGAGAGAAACGGGCTCTAAAATAATTATATAAATTTGTTAGTATGTTATAATTAAATTGAATAAAAAACCTTAAAAGCTAAAGGGAAAATGGAAATTAATAGTCCAACCTTTTAGCGGTCTTCTTACAACAGTCCACCTTTTGTTTATTCATGAATAATCCAACCTTTGCACCCTATCTTCATTCACTGGTCCCTGACCGATTTATGACCTGTTATTCCAAGTTATTTTCTTATCTTTGTAAAACATTATACCATAATTCACAGTGACCAGTGAATGAAGATGGAGTGCAAATGTTGGATTATTCATGAATAATCAAAAGGTGAGACTATTGTAAGAAGTCCGCTAAAAGATTGGATTATTAGTTTCCATTTTCCCAAATCTAAAAAGATGTGAGGACTGTAGAGACATGTCTTTTATTTATGCAGTAACAATTGTATTGCTTTTAAAAACTACAACCGATCTTGCTAAAAATTACTCCCTCCGTCCCATATTTAACTCCAGTTTTGACCGGGCACGAGTTTTAAGATAGTGGGATTTGTGTGGTGGAGAGTTATGCAGAGGAGAGAGAAATGTGTAAGAATGGTTGTGAACCACATATTCTTTACCAAAAAGGGAAAAATGAGATAAATTTGGGACGGAGCGAAAAAGAAAGAATGAAGATAATTCCGGAACGGAGGGAGTAATTTATATATTCTGTTTTAACTTGTCTCTGTTTAAGACTCTTTATTTATGTTTTAAATTTTCAAATTGTCAATAAAATTAATCATTAGACTTAATCAATTGAACTTAAAGAATAAAAAAACCTACTCACGTCCGAAGAAAAAAGAGTAAAAAAGAAAGAGTAAGGTCAGACTCGCACTATATATTAATTGTCATTTTTTTTTAGAATCCTCGCTATTTAGTACGAGTAGAAAAAAAAGAGTGAGATCAGACTCGCACTATAAGATGCCACATCAACATGACTGGAAGTAAGATATACTCGTCCGTATCTATTTGAATATACACACGACGATAGATAAGTAAAGAAGAAGAAGTGCATATTGCCTACCTTTCTGGCGAAGCATCCACTACGATACGCTTACTTTGGATTTCTCCAGAAACAATGGGGCCCGTCAACGTCCATACCACCACCGATACTGGTCCGGCGGCGCCCTCGCTCATGACGGATTTCCTTCAGAAGTGTGGCGGTCTGAGCGTGATCGACGGCGGCCTAGCTACGGAGCTGGAACGTCACGGCGCGAACCTCAATGATCCTCTCTGGAGTGCCAAATGCCTCCTTGATTCGCCTCACCTCATCCGCACGGTATAGTCTCTTCTTTCCGTTATGTTCTTCCTAAATTAGGATTTTTAGTTTCCAGTTTCTACTTAATTTTGTTCTGTGCCGAGTGCGGATTTGTTCAATCCAGACATTTCTCTCGCCCCGACCGAGTTGCGGAAGAAATCTTCATGTTCATCCGTGGTTCAAACTTCTAAGAAGCCGTCTTTGATTTCTATAGTTAAACCTTTTCCTTATCATCCATCTTCAATATCATTTGCGATATCATGTAAATATCTTATATAGACAGGCACCATGTGTTGTATCTGCTTTAATAACTTTGGGGTTGTTCCTTAGGGATGACCATCACTTTTCTATATTACTTATTGGCTGACATAGAACAGGTACACCTGGACTATCTTGAAGCTGGTGCCAGTGTGATAATCTCCGCATCCTATCAGGTATGTATTTTTCTACAACTTACAAGTCTTTCTAATCACTGATTGCGGGGCTGTACCTATATCTATACCTGCGCACCAGCTTGTCTATGGAGCTGAATTTCATTCTTCTCATATATGGACAGGCAACCATTCAGGGGTTCAGGGCCAAGGGGTTTTCCCAGGAAGAGAGTGAGGAGCTACTTAAGAAGAGTGTTGAAATAGCATGTGAAGCACGGGATTTATACTATAAAAAGTGCAGAGAGTCTTCTTCTGATTATACTACGGATGGGAAGGTTCTTAAACATCGTCCCATCTTAGTTGCTGCATCTGTTGGGAGTTATGGGGCGTACTTGGCTGATGGTTCCGAGTACAGGTATGTTTGTCTTGAGAAAGTGTCCGGTTTTCTTCTTCACCTGTTTGAAAATATCCTGATGTCTTCAGAAAGTGTCACATTTCCTTTCTAAACACATATAGTTGAATATTCTTGTGATATGCACTTTATATCTCTTTATAGTGGGGACTATGGAGATATGGTCAACCAAGAGTTCCTAAAAGATTTTCACAGGAGGAGACTTCAGATTCTTGCAGATGCCGGTGCTGATATAATTGCATTTGAAACTGTTCCCAATAAGATTGAAGCTCGGGTATTCTCTGTGTAGTAAATTGTAGTGCATTCTTTATATTCTTGTTTGCAGCTTGTGACGTTATAATTATGTGTAGTCCAACATTGATCATGCATTTATCTGGACTGCTTTCATGGGCAGATCTAACCTGCTTCGTGGGGGTGGGTGGGGTGGGATAGCAGCCTCCATTAACATTTCACTAGATTGGGTAAATTATTTAATATTTTAATCTTTCTTTTCTATTTGGCTCCGATATCATGGATCGTTTCATGTTAGCTGAACCCAAAATCTTTTGGGAATAAGGCTCTGATGTTGTTGTATAGGATAAAATATATACAAAAATAAATAGTCCAACCACTTGCCTCCAAAAAAATCATTTCATCCAAATAAAAAAGAACCAAGTGAAAAAAAAAACCTCTATATTCTAATCAATAACCTCCTCTTACTCTTTGCCAATTTACAACTGTAATGTAACTAGTAACGACCACTTTATTTATTTGATTTATTGATAAGTGTTGTGTGGTTGCCGACATTCTCACCAAGGCCCTTCCAAAGAACAAATTCGAAAATATGAAGAGCAAGCTGGATATGATTGATATCCATATCCAACATGAGGGGGAGTGAAGATTCCTGAGTTATTTTTCCTTATTTGTTTACCTTATTTAGCTTGGAGGGGTAGTATTGTAATTTTCAGAATTATTTGGGTTGAGTCACTGCTACATGTCTTAGTATTTATATTTTGTTCCTTCTCTTTGATTGGATAAGATATGAATGATGAATAATAAAGACGATAGCCTCTCTCTATCTCTCTCGTGTCCTCTTGTATCTACAATAGAGTTGCAGAACTCTAGATCTAGTATATTTAATAGAGAAAGGCATATTAGGGATTATTACCAATGAAAATATAATATCATTTCACATCGTCAAAACTTTTTGGGAGAAGTGTACAGTGTTAGACTCCCTCCTTCCCAGTAAGAGTCTTGTTTGTCTGGTGGGCCACTTGTTGATCATGGGTTTCAAGTAGTGGACATTCCATGATGATAGTACATGCTTAGTTTATATGATATTGAACAACTCTTGACTCTTAAATAGGCTTATGTCGAGCTACTTGAGGATGAGGACATCAAAATTCCTGCATGGTTATCATTCAATTCTAAGGATGGCATCAATGTGGTCAGTGGGGACTCTTTATTAGAATGTGCTGCCATTGCTGATTCATGCAAGAACATTGTCGCTGTGGGGATAAATTGTACCCCTCCGAGATTCATATCGGATCTAATTTTGTCCTTAAAAAAGGTAATCCCAAATTACGTCCTTTTTTCCGCCTTAAAAAAAAGGTTGTGATCAGCCTAGGATTCCTGCAGCACATTTCTTGTTGGATAATATAATTATTATCTGTGTTTTTATGTTTGAGGCAATGACCATCTTTTTAAGCTTATGTGAAGTTTTTGTATTGTATTTATTAGGTCACTGCCAAACCAATTCTTATATATCCAAACAGTGGCGAGACTTATGATGCCGATAAAAAGGAATGGGTTGTAAGTAACTGCTCTTTTTTACTCTTTCAGCTTAAACATTACATTGCTATAGTGACATCTCTTTGAAATCGCTTAAGCATTCATTTGCATTTAGGAAGTCTGTTGTGATTTTTTACCCTGTCTTGGTTATTCATTAGAAAATGGATCTTCATACTCTTGAGCATTGTCTTGGTTATTTATTCATTGGTAAAAAATTTATGTTAGGACTTAGGCGTGCCAAAGTTTGAAAATATTTATACTGGAGGAACAAAGGTTCATATTGTAACATATCTCCGTTTTCTATACATCACACACCTCCACCCATCCACACCTCCATGGCTCCCCATTGTTCTGTACAGAAGCAAGTAAGGAGGAACAACAGTACCCCCTCTAAATCATTTGTGCTATTGCATGTAAAATATTCTCATTTATAAAAGAAAAAAATTCCTGCTTTATTTAGTAGAGGGAAGACACTCTGTTAATACACTTTTATGTTGGTGCAGCAAAATACAGGGGTGTCTGATGATGGTTTTGTTTCCTATGTGAACAAATGGTGCGAGGATGGAGCATCTCTAGTTGGAGGGTGTTGCAGAACTACTCCTGACACTATTAGAGCAATATATGCTGTCCTCTTGAATGAGCAAGTGGGCAATCCCAAGTAAAAGCACCCCATTCAACTTCAAGCTAAATGAGTGAGTAATGGGGGCGTCAACATGTTTTTTGTTTTGGCTGGTAATGGAGTTCATCGAATATAGAAATCTCACCGAGCATTCGCTTTTGTCGGTTTGCGAGATTTCAATAGATAGTATTGTCATGAGAGTTTGGTCATAGGTTTTCTGTTTTAAATGAGAATGATAAGTGTGCAAACAGAACCGTGTAAAGCTTGGCCTAAGAGGGTGGGCGGTATAGATGGAGAATCTGAGAATGGATGCACCATTTAGAAGTATATATGCAATTTATGAGGAAGCGGTCCAGCTCACTGGTCGCCGACCCACTCTCCTATATGAGAAGTCTCGGGTTCGAAACTCTATGTAAGTAGTTTTTGCGTATCCTATATGAGAGGTCTCAGGTCCGAAACAATATGTGAGTGCTTTTTACCCACTATATCTGGGTTAAAAAAATATATGCAATTTATATATGTGGGGGGTTGCATATGATGTGTTTATGCTGGAAGCATCTTTTCATCGGTGATTAGACTAGAGATCCGATGGTATTATGATAATCCGTCCATGTAATGTCATGATCAGGGTGCATATGTGGTTTACAAATATATATTTCCTGATGATGGTTTCAAATTAGAGAGATTAGCCGAAATAGGACTAAAACAGTTTAAAAATTCCAAAATAGAACTGTCATGTTTTTATTCCCAAAATAGGACTAATTACTGCCATGTTTTGGCAGTACCAGACTTCAAACATGTCAGTATTTTCTAAACATGGCAGTAATTAGTCCTATTTTGGGAATAAAAAACACGACCGTCCTATTTTAGAATTTTCAAACTGTTTTAGTCCTATTTCGGGAACTTTTCCTTCAAATTATCAAAATTTTTGTTTCAAAATACTCCATACTTGTTATGAACTAAAGTAGGGGTTGTTAACGAACCGAGCTTTTACTGAACTATTTGAGTTCGAGTTTGGTTTCGAACCTAACGAGCTTTCGAACTCGAATCCGAACTGAGGTTTAAGTTCGAAAAATTAATCGAGCCGAGCTCGAGCATAGTAGTATTCGACTCGATTCAAACTCGAGCCTATCAAACACCTTGAAATTATAAATATAATTTATATATGTCAAAATTTAAATATAATTTGTATGATTTTATGAATTTAAATATGATTACTAACGAACCGAATACTTGTCGAATCATTCGAGCACAAGTAGGGATGGACCGGGTCCGGGCCAAGCCTCAGGACGGGCCCGGGCGGTACTGATATTTTATGCTTAAGGCTCGGTACTGTCCCGGGATTTCACCGGGACCGGTCCAGACCGGTCTACCCGCCCGAGTCTCGGGTCGAGCATTTTTTTTGAAATCTGGTTTAAAAATTAATTTAAGAAGTGCTAGATATAAAAAAAGTTAAAGTATATTTATTTGAAATATGAACTACAATTGAGAGTTGAGAAAATTTTAAAACATTAAATACATTTTGTAATAATCAATTAGAATCTTCAGCACTGTCGGTTGTTGTTTCCTCCATGAAGTGGCGGGTGGGGGTGATGCTAAGTTCTTGAGTTCTACGTTCAGTCTTCAACCAATCGTGGAACTGTGGAAGCAAACAAGCGTCTCAACTCTCAAGAGATTTTGTACTCAATCTCGTTCTATAATCCGTTAGGATGTTGCTGGCTACACTAAATTCTTGTTCCACAACAGCTGTTGATATCGGCATTGCTAGAACTTGCTTAGCCATCTTTGATAAAACCGGGAACATTCTTTTTTTCATCCACCCTTTCAGAACGTCAAAGTCATCATCATCTTCATAGTCAACAGGAAACGTTGGATATAAAGAAAGCTCGTTAACTGAGCTTTGTGTAACTGCGAGAGTTGTTTTACTTTTTTTCATAAGATTGCCAAATGTAGACTTCAAAAATGATTTTCCTTTAGATGAAGAAGATGTTCGTGTCGGGGGAGGGGACGCACGTTACCATATTGTGCATGAAACTCACTATATAATTGATGAAATAAATTACTAACATCGTTGTATTGCTTTTTAGGATCTATGGGTTTATTTTCATACATAAGAAATGGACAAAAAAAAAAGAAGCATAATAGTACTCTAAACAATTTTGAAAAGCATTAAGTTTGAAACAAGGATCAAGAATAAATGCAATATCATATATATGTGGAATATGTGAACAATATTTTAAAAACTTTTCTTTCATGTAATCACAAAAATGATGAACGTAAGGGACATCGGAAAATTTAGCAAAAGCATCGACGAAATTAACAGCTTCAATTAAAAATTGGTTTGCGGTAGGATTATAAAGATGACTAAAAGTTTGGATTGCATTATTAAAATATACCAAAGAATTGATAATATTTTCCATAGTGTCAATGTTAATTTGGTCACATGCGCTCTTGTGCTCTATCGTTCGTTTAGAATTTATTTTTTGCTATGTCGACATGTCGTATTTTTTATTCGGTTAATAATGTGAGGTGTAGGTGTTTTTTGTTGTGAGGATGAGTGGAAGCAATCTGACCGACAATAGCTTCAAAACTCTAGCAAATTCAACGATTAATCTCACTCAATTTTGGGTGGCTTATTCTATGTTTGATCAAAAGTGAGGTGGTGGAGGGGAGACTTGGTTTATTGATGATGTTCGTATGCTTGATTTTATGAATTTAATATAAGCATTTTCCTTAAAAAAATAATTTTAAAAGTGATGCTTAGATCTCATTTATTCTTGTAAAACTTCACGTTATAAAATGGATTACATTTATTTCATTCATTTATTTAATGGTTCATTATCATATTATATAATCATGCATTGAATTCTTATGATATTTAAATTTATAATGCTAGTTAACATAATTCTTGTTAAAGCTTTTATTTTTCATAAATTTTAAACTCACATGATTTTTAATAAGGGCCCACATTAAATTGTTGAGTATATATTTTTTGAAAACAAATAACTAATTTATTCATTAAATGATAACAAAAGAACAGGTGAATGAATACATTAAGGCTACAATGAAATAAGTCATAGAATCAAAACAATTAAAAATTTCTAACCCCACAACAATAATTTCTAATCTAACACTTTTGCTGCTCTTCTTGCTACTCCAGAGAAAAATTTAAAATTAAAAATAAAAGATTCGATTTCACCAGACACCAGAAAAGGAGAATTGATTTAACTAGCAACCAAAAAAGAAAATTCGACCAAGTAGAAATTGACTGAATCATCGATTTGACCTATCATGGAAAAGGAGATCCAGTTGAACACTAACTTCCTCTCAGAGTGAGGTGATGGTTCAAGAGGAGGGAGAGTAGCTATAGATTTAGAATACCTAGATTGAACCTGTCTTGCTAACCATGAATAATGAAAACTCACCACTCAATTGGTTACACTGACGAGGAACACACAACCTCTAGACGTTGTTGGAATAAGAATAAATCTAATGCTCACTTGAAGCAAACATAACTCTCGGCCGAAGAATAAGTCGAACAAAAATCACAATACTTTTTTTGAAAGGAAACTAGTTAATTATTATTAATAAAGGAAGATCCAAAGAATAAGTAATACATGGAGGAAAGTCACAGGAGACGCCAACCTTCTGGGCATGTTAATTATTATTAATAAAGCATGGGCTCTACGCCAACCTTCCAAAAAAGTCATGGCTTCAGACACAATACCTTCCACTGTCACCTCCTTCTGCTCCCAGACTTTGACATTCCTAGCCCTCCAAATGCTCCACAAAAGCATGACAAATAAACTGCACCTTTCTACATCTCTGGTGCGAATATTTGGAGACGACGGCAGTATCTTTAGAGGGTGCCGCCTAGTGATCATCTTGCTTTATATATTAAATTCCGGTTGGGTGCTCGGCTCAATCATCAGAGATGTTTTAAATTTGAGAATATTTGACTCCGTGAAGGGAGTGCATAGAAGTGGTGGAGAATACCTGGGCTATCGGTAGAGGTGGGGGCATTTTGAAGTAATTGGAGATTTGTGGGAAGGAGATAAGTAGATGGAGGACTGCCAGAAATAAAGGGCTAGGGGCTAGAATTGATTTTTGCAGACAGCGACTTCAGTACCTTCGAGGCAAAGCTGATGATTTTTGTGTGGGCAAATTCTGTAAAGTCAGGTGTGAATACCTTGAACTTCTTGAGAGGCAGCAACGTTTTTGGCAGCAGTGGGCCAAAGTGTATTGGCTACAGGAAGGGGATTCAAACACTAAATTTTTTCATAAGGCTGTCAAGCAGAGAATGAGCAAAAATAAAGTGAAGGGTTTCAGGGTGTGACGGCCTTTTGCCAACAAATGTTTAGTACTGGTTTTATTCCTAAAGGATTAAATCATACCAATATTATTTTAATTCTCAAAAAAGACAGGCCTATGACTATAGCTGATTGGAGACCAATTTCTCTATGTAATGTCCTGTTTAGATTTTTTCAAATGTTTTGGCTAGTAGATTGAAGAATTTTTAGAGTTATATGAGCGCTCACAATCAGAGTGTTTTTGTTCTCGGGAGGTCAATAGTTGACAATATAATGATTGCTTTTGAGGCTCACTATTATCTTAAACGTAAAAGACAGAGCATTGATGGCTATATTGCCTTCAAACTTGACATGAGAAAAGCCTACGATAGAATTGAATGGAACTTTTTGGAGGCGGTCCTTCTTAGACTCGGCTTTGACAATAGATGGGTCTCCATGGTTATGCAATAGGTGAGAACGGTGACCTATTCTATTCCCTTTGATGGGTCTGAATTGGGATCTGTAGTCCCACATTGGGGTCTCAGATAGGGAAACCCACTTTCTCCTTATATGTTTATCCTTGTTGCGGAGGGGCTGAGCGCTCGTCTGAGACAAGAAAAGGCGGCAGGTAGACTCCATGGTATGTGTGTGTGGCTAGATGGGCTCCTCGTAGTTCACACTTACTTATTGCAGATGATTTTTTTATTCTTTAAGGCTTCTCATGATGAATGCTCCATTGTCAAGATAGTTCTAGAAGATTATGAGGTGGCTTTTGGTCAGGTTATTGATTATAATAAATCCACCGTCTCCTTTAGTGCAAACGTGACTTCTGACTGGCGGGAGGGTTTCCGGAAGATGTTCGGTGTTCAACTGATGGAAGCAGGGGCTAAATATCTGGGGCTCCCCTCTCTGATAGGTAGAAGCAAAAGGGAAGTTCTGGCTTACATAAAATATTGTTAAGCGGATTAGTTGTTGGAATCACAAATTTTTGTCTAGAGGAGGGCGTGAAGTTCTAATCAAAACAGTTCTTCAGGCCATTGCCGAGTTATGCCATGAATGTATTCCTTTTTCCTAAAGAAATGTGTGCTCAGATCAAGAGAATCATGAATGGGTTTTGGTGGGAATGGCACTCTAGTACACGAATTCGGTGGACTGATTGGGAAAGATTGTGTGTCCCGAAAAAATATGGGGGTATGGGTTTCAGGAGGCTCCATGATTTTAATCTTGCTATGCTGGGAAAACAGGCGAGGAAATTACCTACAACACCAGATTCGTTGCTTTCCAATGTGTTCAAAGCCAGGTATTTTCCCCGTTCTTCTTTTATGGAGACAAGAATCAGAGGATCTCCATCCTTCATTTGGAGGACCTTTATGGAAGCAAAGCCTGTCAGTATTAATAACTTC